TATGCGTCATAAAAAAAATTTATTTGCTCTCCACAATATCTTTGATTGATGATCGCTTGTGTAATTTGTAAACTCTACATGCCTTGCATTGTATACGTTGTACAGCTGGAAAGTCGTTTTTGTTCTGCCTTTGATTTCTTGACCTGATATGACGTGCTCCATGGTTTATGAGGTGGACCGGATTTATGGACTAATTTGGTCTCATCTTCAAAACGATGAGAAAGAAGGGCCTGCCAAAGCGTGGCTTCTTCCTTCTGTCAAGATTGTCTCCTTATACTACTTTCCTTCACGACTTCCCCTAGAAGCTGAACCAGTGGTCGGAATTGTCACACAATTGTTATCCCACCTCATAGAATTTCGCAGTTTCTCCACAGTCGAGTTGTTCCACCAGCTGGTCCGAGTCGTTTCAAGTTTAATACAGTCCAAGTTGTTGTCTTCACCTTCCACGTCCTCAACCTAAACAACTGATGTGTGGAAATTGCGTAACGAGGCAGCCGGTGAAGTAGGAAGAATGAAGATCAAGGACAACTAGAAAACCTAACCCATATCCTGCGAAGCAAGGGAAAAAGAGACCAGGATCTGTTTTCAGCATACTGAGGCAATTTGTCCCGCCCCTCCAACCACCGGCTTACATTTGGTGGAAACAATCCAACCAGACCGTCCAAATCTTCATTGAGGAGCCAGCAACCTGATGAAACTTCAAAGCTTATTTTATTTTGCATGAAAGGAGTCTACTAAATCCGACGACCTCACTTGACACAATCGCGCAATTGCCATCATCCACTGAGTTCTTGAGGGATTTTGACGACAAAACCTTGCCTTGCACAATCCTAAAATCGTCCCGTCTTCAGCCTCGATCTCCTACAAGATTCTATGTTGAAATAAACGAACTTTTTGTCAACACACGACGCCATAGCACAAAATGAAAATGAAGTTCATCTCCGCAGCAAAGCTAGGTCTAACTGCTGGAAGCTCTGATACCAGTTGTAAAATTATTTTTTTACAATCTACGAAAACACTCTTGGCTATTATAAAGATTACCAAAACATCAAAACACACATACAATGCAACTTTTAGAAAAAAATTACTGAAATTACAATCACACACATAAACAGATACACCAATACATCGTGCTTCGCCACTGAGACTACGTCCACAGAACACATAAAACTGTACTGATAAAAACCCTAAATTGTTTGTCGTGAGCTTTGGCTAGATTTAGTTTATACTGACAGCAAAACTTAAATTCAAACCAGGGTTAAACTATCTAAGTGAAACAAACCTAAATTGATCACTAAAATCTAGACTTTTTCATTCATCAAAAAAACTGTCAAGACTATAAATATTCAGAATGCAAAAAAGTGAATGTTTTTTGAAAGTGTAGATTCAAGTGAAATGTATTGTAAAGAGTAGTAAAGTGTCCCACATTGAAACAAACCACTACCCTCTCAACCTCTTTGCCCTCCTAAAGCTGACACTTATGAGTACTACGTCTTGAATCATTGCAACCATGACCAAAACCATGAATTGAGTTCTAAAGCTACAACGAGGTGGATTTTAGGGTGGACATGGGACAGGAATGGGAAGCATTATAGACTTCAGAATTGTTATCGTCGAGTTTCCACTTCAATATAGAATGGACTCCCAGAACATCATTCTCTGGGTTGCCTTCACTTTTTGTATGTGAAGTTTCGGCCCTTTCTTTCATATTGCAGCGCGCTGAGCAGACTCCAACTAATTAGGTCGTAAGATGCTGCTCTCAACTTCCATCGAGTTCTCCAACAATGAGCGCTTAGAAAAGATCCCTTCCCAACAAAGTTCGCACAATAGGCTTACAATCATCTTCTCGTAAAGCTTGCAGCAAACAGAAAAACAACGTCTTTGAATACCAAAAATAATTATTTTCATAATTATTTTCAGCACATTTCGACTTATCAATGATATATAAGAAGCAAATAAATAAGAAACACCAATTAAGATCAAAGAAAGGAGCAAACTGATTACTAAGTAGACAAATATAGATCGTTTCTAGAAATACATGACTGATATGTATTCATGAAGCACTTATACGAAGAAACAGAAACGGGAGAATTCGAAGGACCTCGTATGATTAATTGATTCCGTTGGTTCGTTAACACTCAACTACTTTCGGGGGAGAGTACAAAAGAGGCAAGTACAAAGTAAATAACAAAAAGGAGATTAAGCACGAGGGGAAATATGTGCTAGTGCACCTCAAATATCCAAACTATCCTAGAGTCGAAGCGACCACAAGAGCTGGAGTGTCAGTTGTGTGTATGTACGCGTGTGCCATGCGTCTCTAGACTCGGAATCTAGGATACGGAATATATGGATGAGAAGATGCTGTACTCGGCAGGACAGTCAGGCAGCGCTGCAAAAGCATCGACACCATCAATGTTTGACCCTGCCAGTTATTAATGTGTAGCGCGTGTAAGGATGCCGCCATCCTAAATCTACCACTTAGACGAACTTTTTGAGAAAGGCAAATGATGGAAACTTGGCTCTTCGAGCAAAACTTTTCGAGTCAAATGTATTGGTCGCAAAACAGTGAAAGAACGAATTCGTTGTGACACTATTCGCTACGAATTGTGCTCGAAAGAAGCACGGCAGAGAGAGAGAGAGAGAGAGAGAGAGATGGATGGAGGGAGTGTGTGTGCGCGCGCTCTTGTGTGTGTGCTGTTTTTAGACAAACTGGGGACCACATGCCATGCTCAAAGACAGTGGATAACTATCTGATTTGAAACCTCCCTGTCTCATCTACGACGTCCTATGTTCTAGGAAGCCCATCTGGTCGTTCTCATTGGTCTCCTGTCAAATGACAAGTAACATACCGAACGACAGATATTCCTACCGTGCCCTCCATTTGCTGGATGTAGGAACCAGTGAAATACCAGACATGGTCTCCCACAGAAAATCCAGCTCCTAGCTCGTTGAGGAATTGAATATCGTCCATTTGTCTTAAGTCCAATGCTATCTATTTTCGTGAGAGATGAGATCTCGCTTTACATACCTCTATCAATCACATGTTGATTGTTCATTTTATCTCCTAATTTTTTTGGTGTTGTAATATGGTCTATGAATGTTACTCGATTCTCCCAGACAATAAACGAAAGGACAGCGTTCGGGCGTTTTTCACTTGCTTGATTATACGGCATCGCAGCTGTAGTTTAGTTTTTACTCCAAGGGATGGAAGTTAATTTCCATACTGGGCATACTTGCCGCTGACATTGCGAGGAGCAATAACTTTGCATGTGCTAGCTCGCAGCCGTGATACAAAAGTTGCATTGACGCGTAAACCAGAAAGGCTAGCGTCGTGTAGGTTCGGAAAAAAAGACTCGGCGTGATGGATGCATTGCCCTTCATCTCTTGTCATCATTCTATGGATGGGAGGAGATAACCTTCAGCAGACATCTACTTTAGGCTCCCTTTCGGATAGAATTGCATAGCTTTTTCCTGTCATCATCAGTTTGGTTCATAACGGTTTCATTCAATATACTCAGATATTCAATCGCCTTGATACAAACGCCATAACAAGCACTTGAATAACTAGTCATATATACCAAGCCGAAGCTAACAATCGAAGGAATCCAGGCAACCGTCGCCAACATGCATAATACTTCTGTGTAAGAACGCGGCAAGGATTCTCTCGTAATCAAAGACCTACTAATTGGAGCTTCACCTGATGCTGCTACAATCTGCATGCTCTAGTTGTACATGATAGCAGTCTTTCGACACCAACTACCGCACACAAATTGGCCTCAATCGTGAGTCACGAGTTTGACACAAAGACGAAGGAGTCGGCATCAATAAAATGATTCAGGAGATCACCGACATAATCAGCGATGATCAGGACTGCAACTCTTACGTCGCCTTCGGAGGTTCATGGAGTGAAGCGCAAATTGTGACGAAATGAAGATCCGGGCCAGGGAAGATTCACGAAGCCCCGAACTCAAGGGTGGAACCATTCTGCCGCGGATGGGGTCGATTGTGCCCGTGAATCACAGAAAGAGAGGATAGCAAGTCCACTGCACAAGGGCACAGCCGTCGACGTACGATCCATCCACATTCAAGCAGCGGTAGCCGCTTCGATCGTAGACAAGCTACAATCGTACTCGGGCCTAGTTGACAAATCATGGGACGTGAACTGTTGCACTGACAAGAACACTAGTCGTAGTACATCGCATGGTTCTCGTGCATGGACTGCTGCCCACAGGATACGCGAGGATATGGTGCATCTATCCTCAAAACCTCTTCTCCTCGGGTATGTGCGATGAGCGTGCAAACTCAAAAGTCTGACAGCTCAGTTGTCATCCCGTCCAGTGAAGAAACTCACCGCTCCCCGTCTCCCCGACCCTTAGGCGCAATAAGTACATCTAAAAATCGGGATGAGAAGAATGACGAGCCCCACGATGGACATCGACCTCCATCGCCTTTTCCTCGCTCGGTACGTGCCGTCGCGCGACGGGTTCATCGGCCCGTGCGACCGTCGCGAGCGAACTCATGTTCGCGCCGCGACCGTGAGCCGAATCAAGCAGCGAGAAGATGGACGTCTGCATGGCACAAGCAAGGAGCGCCAGATCGGAAACGGTTGAAGAGAAGCCAGCGTGGATAAAACAAGACACGAGGCGGTCCCATGTTTCCACGTCTAGTTTGACTTGCTTACTGTATCTGGCTAGTCCGATGGCCCCATTGTCCTACGAAACGAACAAGCGTTGTGAGTTCTGGATCTAGCGTTGCGCGCAGGCGGACGGGCGCTTTCGCAGTTGACGTCATCATCTGCGCACGGCCACGTCAAGCCTGCGGTCAGCCCTTTGAAGCTTGCCGTCTTGTCTGGGGAGGAGGTGGAGGAGGGTGATGTCTGGACACGATGCGTCCAGTTATCCAGCGGGGCTGTCCCGATCGGGCACGTCCGTCGTCGCCTTGCCGGAGTGGGACGAGAGCATAAAAGGCGGAACGCGCGGGGGAGTCAGGACATTGGCTCGCTGGTCGTCGCTCGTCGCTTCAACGGGTCGAGATTTGGAACATCTGCTGCAGCCATTATGGCATTCTCTCGAGCTTTGGCCTTCATGGGCCTGGTTCATCTGATGATCCAGAGCTCCATCGCATACGACCCGACGATCACCACCGACTTCGGGCTGATGGGTGCCGCGAGCGGTGCGGACTTCACGTCGACGGCTTTCGAGGCCGACAAGCTTCCAGCTGACCCCGCTGCCGGTGGGCTGGTGCTGGTGCCCCAGTTTGTTGGCCAGTTTCCTGGCCTCACAGGTCTGGGCATCTCGTCGCTGTACTTCAAGCTCGGAGCTGGGGGTCTGGTTCCCCCCCACATCCACGCCCGTGCCACAGAGCTCTTCATCGTGCTGAAGGGAACGTTCTACGTGGGATTCGTCGACGGAGCTAACAAGCTCTACACTGCCACGCTTTATCCCGGAGACCAGTTCGTTTTCCCTCAGGCCTTGGTGCACTACCAGCTAGCGGGTGACTCGGCAGCCGAAGGCTACTCTTCTTTCAACAGCCAGAATCCAGGAGTGACCTTGATCGCCTCCAACGTTTTCGCTTCCACTCCGGGCATTCCAGTGGGCGTGCTCTCTGCTGCTTTCGGGACCGATGCCCAGACTGTCATGAAAATCAGAACTGCCCTCGGCGGCTGATAGGACCAGAAACGTAGCTTACGGCAGTTGAGCTCCGCGAGTGTAAGTGGACACTCGTGTTTTGAAAATTGCTGCCAGAATTTCAAAAGTATGTCATCGGCGTACATCTGATCCATACACAATTCTCAGTGTCTGCTGTGGTTTCGCTTTCTACAAGTAATAAACTCTCCAATCTCCTCAGTAATGAGAATTTTACACCTTACACTTTTTTCGCTGCTTTGAAAACCGTCTGCTATGTGCAATGTTCTTTTACTGTTGGCGGTGGGATCTGTCGATAGCAAGCGAATGACAACTCGGAAGGAGACATCATTTGTCGTGTTTTGCGCTCAACACTGATTCTGATTCTTCTGAGATAAACCCACGATCGTCCACTCTATAAGATGTATGTGTCTGATAGAAAATTAGTCTGATGATTATATATTGCACTCTCGGTCCACAGCAAATTTATATGACATTTACTGCTGCCGAACATTCAGATATAACAATATACTGCAGAACGGGCGAAAGTGTATTTGTAAAAAACTGCATGCCTCAGTGCTCATTTTCTGAAGATTTTCTATCGTTGAAAATGCCATGCTGTTTGTATAATATTTTTTCGGTTACTCATATATGAGAGGAATCGCACAGACGAGAACAACGTCTTCAGCAGCAATTTTGCTTAGATTATGATTGCAACCTTTTATTCGCGTTCTACCTTTCTTACCGGGTCATACTTCCAAGTGAAAACTTTTCCAGTAGAAAATTCAGATTGAAGTAAACTAGTCTTGCTCTCAAAGCGGGTACTAGTCTTGGCTTAAAAATTGTATAAATGTGCTATAGTTATGATTTTTAATTACTTCATTATAATGGTATATGTATTATCGTGCAAAATTCATAACATATTGTTTACTCTTGTAAGTTTATTATTAGTCATCAGCTAGTTTTGCAATCTAGAACCAAAAGCAGCAGTATAATGTATCAAACTCCACATGTTTGCGTCAAATTAGCTGATGAGTAAACATTATGTTATTTGTAAGACTGGTCTTGCAAATGTGAATGTTCTTCAACTTCTGAAAAGGGTAGAGGGATTTCGATGCAGACATGTGGATTTTGGTACATTGCGCTGCTGCTTTTGGTCCACAGTAAATGTGAAGCTTGTTCCATCCTCAAGTAATGACATGATCCGGAAGGGAGAATGCAAATATTTTTGTCAGTGAGAAATTATAGTAGAGTTAGGGCGCAAGCTTGAAAGATAGAAGTGTAATTCATTTACAGATGCTAATAAATACAGTCAGACCGATTACTAGTCAGGAAGGAAATTATCTGCACGTCAATGTACTAATATCTCGGCAAGTGATGCAATGAACGACACAGCAGTGAGCCGAATCATCTTCGGTGGTGAACACAATCGCCTCCTGTTCAAAATGCAGCGAGGTTTAACAGATAATATCAATTATCAATTATCATGACATGCATCCGGCAAATTTTACCTGAACTCTGGTACGTGTTCAGTGCATGAATGGAGAGTGATAGCGGCTGGAGGCAGTGACAGCATTGGCAGTGAGAACCGTCAGGGAGCAGAAGAAGTCTAACAGTATCTATGATTCCTAACGAAGTTTCCAATTAAAAAATACACTGATCACAGAAAAGCCTGAGAGCACAAGCGTACTCAAACAGCTTGAAATCTTGTCAAACGTCGTTCTTCAAGGTAAAATACATTTAATTTGGGAGAAATGATAACATAGAGTCGACTGAGCACCGAGAGAGTGCCAAACTAGTTAACTATCCGGTTGAATCTAGCAAACAAGTCGACCGAAAAAATTGTCCCTTCTGGTAACTGAATCCTGGCCCTATCATAACCAGTCTTTGGAGAGCTTAGCCCATCAGAGCCTTTCTGATGTTCATCACGGTCATGGCGTCGACCTTGAAGGCAGCTTCCAACACACCGCTGGGGATCTCGGGCATAGAGGCGAAGACGTTCGAGGCGATCAGAGTCACTCCGGGGTTCTGGCTGTTGAATGCAGAGTATCCAGTTGCGGACGAGCTTCCGGCCATCTGGTAGTGGATCAATCCCTGGGGGAAGACGAATTGGTCACCAGCCTTCAGCTTGGCAGAGTAGAGCTTGTTGGCGCTGTCGACGAAACCAACATCCCAGGTTCCGGAAAGGACGAAGAAGATTTCAGTAGCACGAGCGTGGAAGTGAGGAGGCACCAATCCTCCGGTTCCGAGCTTGAAGAAGAGGGAGGAGATTCCAAGGCCAGTCACTCCGGGGAATTGAGCTGCGAATTGGGGCACCAAAACGAGTCCTCCTGCAGAGGGGTTTGGTGGGAGCATGTTGGAGCTGAACGCCCTGCTGGTGAAGTCCTCGCCGGTGCTGGCGTTCATGAAGCCGAAGTCCATGGTGATGGTCGGATCGTAGGCAATAACTCCCTGAATCACCAGGAGAGCCAGTCCGAGAAGAGCGAGCTGCTTTTGGTTAGCCATGATCGAATGCAGGAGCAGAGAGAGAAACAAAGCAGAAAACTTCGGTAGGCTTCGAATGTGAGTGAGCGAAGTGCAGTGTGATGTTGATGGCAACTGAACCTCTGCTTTATATGCGAAGTTTTCCGGATCAGGAGGCGGATGCAGGCACTTAGCTGACAAGAATCATCTGGTACTGTAACTACAACACGTCAACGAGGTTGCAGTTCCACCACCAATCGAACTATTTGCGATTTTAATCCACTGAAGTGACTTCGGAAATCACCGTGTTTCGAAATTATTACAATCATGGGAAAAGTAAGCCCTCTATGACCAGAGGAATGTTTGATTCATATAAGTGACCGCTGAGAGGCCTTGGAACCCCGAGAATGGCTTCCAGAAAGGAAGGGAATGTTGGTAAAATTTTCAAGCTTATCGCGAGAATGCCTTCAAGGGCACAAGTCCAAGGGACATCATTCAGAAGTCAAATCCCAGGCTGTAATTTCCCGGTGTGACTGGACAGAACCATTCGAGCCTGACTGGAAGCGGGTTCTGGTTTGAGACTGAACTTTTTATAGAGTGCCATTATCGATTCGAGCTGGAACTGCCACAAATTTTGGACTGTCTCGGGAAGCAAACAAAATTCATCTTTTTGCACCACTGCCTTCTGGACAGGCTTGCGCTATCCGGGGTCGCAATTAAGACGCGAGAAGAATGCATGCGGGAAATATGATGGTCCAAGTCCACATTGGATCGGGGATATTTCCGGTCTCCGAACTCTGAGACAGTGCGCTTCTTTTGTCGGCGAGCACTTGAACTAGGTGCTCGAAGCCAACATTTAAGAAGCGAGATGCACGCATGCGCGTTATTAGATTGGCCTCTTCTTCATCCCCAACTGCCGACTGAATTACTTCCCCATCACCACGTTACGGTGATAAGTGGTCGAGAGTTGTTTTCGATTTACAACACAATTATATAACCTCCTGTCCTTCTGCCTAATTTAAAAACTACCCACCATGAATATCCGAAGCATCGGCCCACACAGCTAGTAACTCTGATTATTGTCTAATTCGTGTATTCTAAATGAGAAATCTCACAAATTTTTTCAGCTATGATTCAGTGTTCACAATTATAATTCAAAACAAGTTAGCATCTTCCACATTGATTCTAGTCATATAATAACTCCAGTGATTTAAGTACTTGTTTTAGGTGGATACCTGATTTGTGAGAAGATAAATCCATTTTTAGTTACTCAGAAAATTGTTTGAATTCTTCCAATATTGAAAAAAATTTATTTGCCCATTTTTTAATTCTATCATGGTCAAGCGACAAATTTCCTATAATTTTTCCACACTACTTTGGAATTTGGAGTATATAACGTTGTGCATCACATGTTTTTTATTATACATTAGAACTGGATTATCTTGCAAATATGTTTTTTAACCTTCTTCTAATAAAGTATCACCTAGATCTATTTTTTCAGGGCTCAGAAAGTTTGACGTGTCTTGATTATTGTCATTTTTTTGGTACAGTTCACACTCTTCTATCGTCATGACTATTTGCATAACGGAGTTATTATTTTCATATTGTATGCTTTGACTCTTCGAGAAGATACTTCGGTGATCTCTTATTCATCAAGAATCATTATAAAATTCTCGAGTCTCAAAAGTGAACATATGAAATGTAAAGATTGATCTCCTCAAACTGATTATTCATATGTTGTGACCTATTTAAAAAATTTTGATCTCGATAATTTGGTTATAAGGCTTTATCTTAGAGTCTCAAAAGTGAAGATGTCAATATGTAAAGATTGATATTCTCGACGCTACCACTTCTCATTTGAAATTTCCTCATGCGGGTATGACAGAGTCTACATTTTCTGTTGGTTGGAGTTTACAATTTTGTCTCACGCCACGTAGATATTGCATTAATCTATGATGTATTGTTCGTAGATAATTCACTTTTGTTGTAAACCTGTAGATCTTGTTTGATGACCTCTCTTCTTATATTGCTGCTCCATCCACTGATATTCTATCATGAAGTATTTTAACATGTACATCTACATGTGACAAGAATCTGAATTAAGTCATGTGTATTTCCTATGTTATATGGAGGGATAATTTATTATGAAAGATGGAGGAAGTAAGCTACAATTTTTTTCTATTTCAAATTCTTGGCATCTTGGAAATCCACGATCCGTGATAGTGTATACGATTGTGAAAAGAACACGATTGTATCGTCTCTGTGTATCTTCACAACGTACAAGAGCTTTAACTCGGGAGACACAAGCCTCTAGCTATTTTATTGGGTCCATAGATCGGACTAAAGAACCACTAGCTACCTCAATGGAATCACAATTTCAACACTTTTTACACTCATTTCTCAGTGGATTTAATAATTAGTTGTATGTGTATATACTTCTAGGTATGTTTACACTCTTGATTTTTGGCTCGATCGTGTATTATGATTCTAAAGAGATTTTGCGACGTTTTGATCTATATATCTACATCTTTACTACGCAGTTATAAATCTGATATATACTAGATGCAGAAAATGCTCAATGTTTCTTATTAGAAGCAAAGAGAAAACTTATTAGTATGGGTTAATCAACTCACATACCCTCATGTGATTATAACGTTATGCTTTCACCACTTTTCAACGTGTGTGCTACTACCAACTCCTTGTAGCCTTCTTTGGATTCATTCCCCTGTATTCGATATCATCTGCTATTTCCCTCTTAGTTTCAGTACTCTGAATGATTCACCAATTTTATAGCCGGTCTCAGTTGAAGTTCTCATTTTTCATGTCTATCTCCATAACTCTCTAGCTATGCTGATCTTGGTATACATTCACTTCACTAGCCCCCGTCTTTTGTTTTGCAATCGCCACTTCCAATATATCAATATATGCTAATGGCAATGGGTTACTCCCGACTTTATCTCCCGTTTTTTATTCTATCGACAAAAATTGCTTATCCAAACCCACTGGGCAAGTAATTAGCAAAAGAATAGTCAAATCTCGAGGCTGGGCTAGTATTAAGCTACTTCTTCTGTTTACTGTACTTGCTCTCTTCTTCTGTCCAGTATCTCCAGTTACTAGCTGATACTTCTTCACTGAGCAACACATCGAATATATTTTCTCTCCATTGTTCGCTTATGCTTTTGTTCCCGTTTGCATTAATTGTCCCTAATGATCCTCTTCTCATCGTCGTACTAGCCTTCTCTCGTCTTGCTACACTTGGCTAGGACTGGACCTCCTCTTCTCCTGTTTACTGTCTCAGGTTCTTCAATATCTCTGTTCTTTGCCACCAACTCCTGCTCTTCTTCGTCCTATAGCAGCTTTCAGTCTCAGATGTTAATGGGGCATCACCTTTGGCCTTCTCAACTTCCATTGATGTCTCTTTGTGTGGTTCAACTCGCAATTTTGCAGCAGATGCCCTCTCTAATGTCATGCATCTGGGTACTGTATACTCTGCACTCAATTGCTCCTTTCCACCCGGGAGTCGATGCTTCGATTAGAGACGAACAGTCCTTCTTCCTGAATCTCTTGGATTCTATTGAACCCAGAAGCTCCCGTTCATTCTCCTCCGTCTAGCTTCCTCCAATTGTTCGTCAGCCTGATTAGCTTCAAGAACGCTGAAATCTGAAATCTGAAATCTCTCCTGTGTACATTGTTAATCTGGAATGCTCACTAACCAGAAATTCTTTTCTCTACGCGGACTTCCCTCATTTATGCCTATATTTCCAACTTTATCTATTTCAGCTGAAGGAGTTCGATGGCTTGAATCTCGGCAAATGAATAATTGGGAAGTTTTCCCAAAACTTAAATATTGATCTTGTGTCTGACCCTAGCTGCGCTCCGCCATAGCCAAGACTTTGTCGAACTTTTTACTTTACACTAATCGCGTTTCAAGTACGCTAGGAGACAAAGCATCTCATGTCTCTTGCATTAATATGGCACCAGATGCTGTGGTCAAAAGTGGCTGTGTCGTGCGCGGGCTCAGAAGATTGATGAACAGCCCGACACCACAACCAGTTCCTGCCGTCGAAGGCAGGATAAACTATGGCGGGCACAGCTCTCCTCGCGCTCACGCGCTCGACGACGCGTTGTGGGCAAGTCGGAACAGGGTTGACACTTTACAGCTGTGACTTGCAGTGAACATTTGAAATTGTGATGTACCGAATCAGTGCTACCGTATCCTGATGTTGACCTAGGTTCATATGGAGCAGGGCATCCAACTTCCTGCGCTTCCTGGTCTCTGTGAACCAAATTGTTGCCCCCTCCGACAGCTCAGATGACAGACACCATGGGCTTTCGAGTTGTGATCGTCGGATGACTGCCAAGTTCAAAAACCTCCGGTCGGATAATAAGGCGACTTCATGGTTCACGTGTTTCCCCGAGAGCAGCTTATCTCGCGACTCTCAAGAGGTCTCGTGTGACCTGATGAGTCGTAATGTTGGGAAACACAATTATCCATCACCACATGCTCCAGAAGCTTATCCAGTGCTGCGAAATTTCAAAGTCGACGGGCACATGAAACATTTCGTAAACGTGTCCGCGCTTGTAGCCACGCCCGTAAACATAAACAGAAGATTGGCGAGAGGCCACGAAGTAATCATGATTCGGCTGAGTGCAAATCAGGAAAGCTGCTCACTTCTCTGTGCTCGAGTCCTTTGACAAAGAAGAATTAGTTGATAGAGAAAATTTACGTCGTCAATGGGGCGACAGCGCGACCGCGCAATCCACTGAAGTACGTACGTGGCTCTCGCAGTGTTAGACCGCTGAGGAATTCAGGAAGATGAACCGATCGAGCGTTGAGAATCTCTCACTGCTGCACATGGAGCATGGCTTGCTCGACGTCGAGAAGAAAGAGAAAACGACAGACAAGGTTGAACCCGTCGATGAGAGGCGGTCGAAGTTGGCCGATTCCATTGTTAGATCATGCCTCCTAATGTTGACTCACATGTCAACTCATCTATGCCAAATCGGTACATTCACAGAGCGCACGCAGCATCGCACAATCAGATTACTGTATTCGGTGTTTCGGCCCGCGGTTCTACGACCAGAAAAGGCAAGACCAGCTGACATCCATCGCATCCTCGAGATCTTGGGATTCATATGTGGCCACATTCGCACGATGATAATACAGTAGTCCCAGGAGAAGAGATGTGCTTGACACCTGTCAGAGTGCGAAGTGGCTGGACACCGACATCTCCTGCTCGAACTGGCCACGCAGCGAATGAGGAACTCTGTTTCTTCTTTTGCATCTGCGTGTACTTTCCAGTCTCGCTTTTCACTTCCTTTTGACCCCCCTTCTTCTCTTTTGTCCCCTAATAACTGCTTCGCACACATGTGCACTTTTGGTGCCTCGACTCGAGCACGCCGCTTTTCTGATTTTTGTTCACACTTGCAAAAATGGCATCTGCATAAATATCTACAGACCTGGCTCTTTCCACACATTTCAACGTACTTGAAATCCGTTCATCGATAATCTGGAACATAAGCTTCTCCTCTTCGCCATTTCTGCATTCACATACCACCAGCAGACCTTGAAGTAACACGCAGATTTAGAGCACTATGCCCAAGTTCCTTGTGTAGGGCACCTAGCGTGCATCCATTGCACGCTGAGTAGTGTTGGTTGGGGTTCTGTCGTGCTCGGTGGACTTTTTTGAAATAGATGTTCGAGAAATCTCAGACGCATGAAAATGTATATTCAACTCGGAGCCCACTCCCATCTACGCATTTGGTTCATCCCTGTACCACTGTGTTTCATATTATGAGAATTTTCACTACATTTTTTGATACATAACTTGAGCATGAGAAGTGGGATTGCAGAAAAAAATATTGTAAATTTTATTTTTATTTAAAATAAATTTATACTGTTACCCAAACTTACAGGCAAGCCGACCTAGCTCAGTGGTAGAGCGCGTGGCTTTTAACCACGTGGTCGTGGGTTCGATCCCCGCGGTCGGCGAATGGCGCTTGCAAAGCGTGAGCCACGTCATTTTATTTCACCCGATCGTGATGATAGGCATGAAGGCTTTCTGGACCTCTTCCATATACCGAAAATAACTTCGTTCTATTAGACCATGGTCGATAAATATTGGAGTAGGATGCTTCAAAGCATATTAGGCGGTCTGAAAATGATCATAGCAATACGTACAGTAGTGACATGTTTCCTCGCTCTGAAAGCCTGTGAGGGAGTCGGAGATCTGAGGCCGCTATTCACATCCCGATTTCGAGTTTTGTGAATACCCGAGCGAACCTATTAAGCACAAAAGTTATATATTTAAATATATATTCAAACAATCAAGGTAATTTACCATTTTAATTTCGAGGTCTTATAAACTGTACTTTATCATTATATATATAAAGACTGTCACGATCAATCAATATACATATTCATATTGCATTATTCTCTTGATTTAAAGTGATTATGATAATAGGGTTTCCTGTTTTTCGGAAAATGAAATTGTCTTTCAATACACAATCTATGCATTTGTATAGCGTTTTGATAACAAGTCTATCGAACTACTTAATCTTCGAACTACAATCCCCAGTGTTACATACATGCAAATTCATCACCATTTGGTCAATTCAGGTGAGTTCGTTTCAATAATTCAAACCCTTTTAATAAAGTAAGAAATAAAACTCGCCTAGGCCTCCGTTCAGAAAACTCACTCCTTGAACCCGGAAATCGGGAACCCTGGAGACCCCCGAAGTAAATGAAAATGTATCCAATTTGATTATTCTAGAGTATTGTCTTTTATTGTTTCAAACTTAGAGTTGTACTTTTGTTTGACTATACTATATACACTAGATCTTTCCAAATGTTTTAACCCCGAATATAACTTCCTTCCTTCGAATATTAATGTTGTTCGCGGTTTCATTGCCGACTATAAGTCTGGTGACTGGATTTGTTCCCTGTCGTCGTCAGTCTTCTCCAGTTTCTCTCTCCCCAGTTTATTGCTGTCTCTTAGGTTGGTGTTCAAATCGACTGAGATTTACCTTCCGCCGTGTAATAGCATCTATTTCGGATACCCGTGCCATGTCCCAAGTTGCCCCTTGCACGCAGCATAAAAAATCGGAAACATTTCGAATTCTCTACGAATGCTAAACGCGAAGAAGAAGCGCGAGTGAAGTCGTGCTTCACAATTGAATCTTGTCAGACTGCATTGAGGAAGATTGCAGGAAGATGAGTGCAAGATGGTGCATCTCCACTGCAACTTAACACTGAACGTCCTGAGAAGAAATTTAGGCCGAGGACGAAAGAAAGAGCATTGAGTTCATTTATTTAAAAGTCTTCACGGATGTCTGCACTGCTCGACAACATCTGGATCGGTCTGTTTATGAACTCAAACGATGTACACACACTATGCACGTATCGAAACTGGACAGTATTTAGACAAAGCGAGGCCACTTCCAGTGTAAACCACCCCCTCGATAATCCGGTGTGCAAATTTCCAGCACTTGAAGAAGAATCTAGACGGGAAGGAACAAGTTAAAGTTGCTAACACCGTTTCCATTCGACGTTGACCTCGCATCGAAGGCATCACAGCGAAGTGAGATTGACGTCAGGTGTGGCATAAACTCTGAGATGCCTCAAGTCGGCATCTAAATGAGTCGCTTCATCGCCTTTGCGGCCGAACTGATAGTACGTGGAGTTACTAGTTTTGAGAGAGAGATCCAGGACAGAACAGCGAACGGTGGCACTTCCCACACTCTGCTGATTGAAGTACAAGGTCAAAGTGCGCGCAGGTCGATCGAAGGCCCAGGCGACGTCGAACCACTCGCCCAGAGGCACGGGTATGGACGAAGTCACGGCGACCAGATCCTGCTCGGGATTGGCGCCGTTCGTTTCAATATTCCTCCGCAGCTGGACCGATATGGTGTGGGCAGCGTCGATCTGAGACAGAAACTGCCACTGCCCTGGGCTCCAGTCGGCGTAGAGATAACTCTTGCCCGCGGTCATGGAGGTCGGGACCCGCATATTGAAGGCCACGGTGAAGCTCGTGTTCTGAATGTCCACGCTAGGCAAGTTCAAGTAGCCGGGCAATCGGATGCTGACATAGTCGCCCAGCAGAGCGACGTTGCTTCCCATAGGAACTGCAGCTGCAAGCTTGGCCGGAGACGCATCGTCGAAATCTCCATTGAATGTCCAGTGCGCTAGTTGCAGAGGGGCGGCGTACAGGCGGAATGACATGTCGTTCAGAGGGAAAGGATCTGTCATCGAGACGAACAGGCTGCCGTCCGAGTACACGTCGTTGCAGTACGAGAAGCCACCGGAATATTGTGACAGGCGCACGAGCTTCAGCCAGTATGCGTGCTCCGGCTTCAGGACGACAGGGCCTGCTGGGAAGAAGAAGGCGTACCATGTAGAGGCAGTGCCCGCAGTGGATGAGGCGAGGCTCAGAGTGTCGGATGATCCCAGCGAAAGCAGTGTGGCGTTGGTCCAAATCTCCACGTTGTATGAGGTGGTGTACTCGAGCTCCGGCTGAATCCAAATCTCCACCTTTTGCAGTTCGTAGAGGGACGAGACCTTGAAGGTCTGAGCCACGCCTTGCGTGATGGGCATCCCCGTCTGGCAGCCCGTGATGTCCACATCGATCACTAGATCTGCTTGGACACTCACTGCCAGGAGGATCACCAGAAAATTACCTACATTCTGAGCAATCTGCTTACGCACCGAACGCTTATTCATGATCGATCGACTGTTGTGCAAGAGTCAGTTTCTCGGATGACAGAAGAGTGAACTCAGAAGAGGACGACTCAAAGACAAAGGGTGATAACAATTTAAGGTGATTTCTATGAGTAACGCCTGTGATGTTTACATGCACGATGTTGCTCAAAATCCCGTGACTTCCATCGGTGTCGTTTCAGATGTCATCATAACGCCATCTCGCGTTCCTTACATGCTTCTTTCTCATCGTAACGCCGAAAATTTAACTACTTCAACAATTTCTCGGCAGCTGTCATGACTGTAAGCCCAGTAGTTCCACAATCGATGTTCGAACTTCTTATAATGTACACAGCAGCCTCATAAGAAATCTCAGATGTCCGCATTTTAAGCCGGAGAAGATGAGACGCGTCTGCTACTCCCATGATGCCCTCAATCTGTGTCGATTTGACTTCTCTGGAACTCGTAGAACCAAGTTTTTATAAGATCGTCTGAAGTCTCCTTAGCCCGAAATCCCACCACCTCTCCAGTGGTATGACTTGTCTTTGAGAGTGACAAAAAATAAATAGAATCTGCTACAAAATACAACTAATGGGGAGAAAATAGTAAGGGGCTAGTTATCCCTCACCCTGAAAAGACAGATATTTGACCATGCAAGTACATACCAAACTGGGGATATAGTGTTGGGGAATAGAGAAACGGGGAGAAGTAGTGCTAAAAATGGAAAGATTAGACTAGGGTGAATGATAATTAGCTTGAAATGAGTGATAAAAGACGTATCACATTTATATTTGGCTATGTACTAAATTTTTTCAGAAATATGCTTATAATACACTTAATTCTTTTCAAATAAAACTTTAGAAAAAATCTTACTTTAATTTTCTTATAAGAAATAATGTACATATTTATTTAAATTTCAGTATTAAAATCTCATTAAATAGAAATACAATTTTTTTGAATTATAAACTCTGGAACATATGAAAATGAAAATGGAAACAAAATCTTTTGTATAATAAGATATTAACATTAGTGTAACTAATCAAAAAGAAATTGATATGACTAGTGTAACAATCAATTTGCTCCTATTTTTAAAAAATCATTCTACCAAATATTTTTGACCAATTATAATAAATCAATGATCTAAGTATCAAGAAATTGATCTAATATTATCAAATTTATGGAATAAAAATTGCTCAACATTGCATCTTTTCTAGCATTGTTTTCTTCAAATTTTTCAAAATAAAAAAATATTTCATATTTTATATGGCATGAGATGATGGCTGAGCAATAGCTTCACAATTACTCAGTAGTTTAAGAGTATACTAACATTAATAATCCAACATAAATTAAAAAAAATTAAAATTCAAATAATCACATATAATTTGTCAAAGAGTGAAGGTTTTGGAAAAAAATGATCATAGGGCACTATGTACATACTCAGTTCTTTGAAATTATAAGTTTTACAACCAAAATTTTTTTATAATGTTAATCTCAATACTCACAAAATTTCAAGTCAAGTCACAACTATCTATTCTTAGGAATTGTCAATTATGTATAGCTCATGTATCACATACTTAAATATCAAGCATCAAAAAATCTAAATTGAGCTCTAGAAAATTTGATATCATCTTTTAGTATGAAAAAATTTGTATGCTTGTAAATCTTATTTATAATTTCTAAATCTATTTTCAAATCACATGATTATTTTTCATAACTTCATTCAAGATTTTTGAAACCTATAATCTCAAAAATGATTATTTTGTTTATGCCATTAACACTACCATGATGTAAGTCAATATATGTTTCACTTAATCAAATATTAAATTTTAACAGATAAAATATAATCAATTCTACAATGATTATTATTTTTAATAAAAAATGAAAGATATTATCTAAAAAATGTAAAAGATTTTATTGTATAGAATTAATGATGAAAACAAACTTGGAACTGATATTCATACAAGAATAAAATGTGTTATGTTAACTCAATCTTGTATTAAATTCATTTAGCAAAACCATGGTTAGGGAAATTTACAGTGGTTAGGTTAGCTATGATGTGCATCTTATCTTTTTCTTTATAGAAGAAAAAAGGAATCATTCACTACGTGCATGTCAGAGTTGCACTTTGAGAGTGAGCATGGAGCAGAAGAGCTTGGCTATGAATTCCGTGTAAACACTTATGCTTTAGTGAAGTTTCTATTCTTGTCAGTGGACGTAACCTGTGAAATGTGAACCACGTTATCTCGGTGTTGTGACTAATCTGCCTGTTGATCAATCTTGATTGTTGGGCTTTACAATTGGTATCAGAGCTTGAGGTTAAGTGTTGAAAACTATTAATACTGTGAGCGCTTTCTTGGCATGAATAGCTTGGAGCGAGGAGAGGAGCTTGTTCTAATTGTTCCGGAAGATGTTGAATTCCTGCATTTGAACAACAAAAGTGAAGATGCAAGCTTTCTTTCCGAGTATACTGTTGAAGTCATTTTGAAACATCTTCAAATTGCGATAGGCCAATCAAAGGTTGGTGGATCAAGGTTTAAAATTTAACGTTTTGATGGTCGTAATGATTATCTACTATGGAAACAACAAGTCAAGAATGTGATAAAGGCAATTGGCTTGGAAAAATTCAAACCGAATCACTTGAATGTCAATGACGAGGATTTGAATGAGTTTCAAGATCAAGTTGTGAATATTATTACTCTATCTTTGAAGCCAAATGTGTTGAAACAAATTGAGAAATTGGAGATTCTGACAGCTATGTTTCAAACGCTTCAAACAAAGTATCACATGGAGTTATCAAATTGACTTTTCACATCATTAAAATTGATGAGCTTCAAAATGGTCAAAGATTTAAAAATCCATAATCACACTGATGCTTTTAATGATTTATTGATGGATCTTTTGAACTTGGATGAGGATTTGAAGTATGAAAAAAAGACATTCTAGCTTTTGAGATCCTTGCAAACCTTATACTACATTCTATCTTGTGTGTTGTTTCATCGAGATAAAGAGAGCATAACTTACAAAGAGGTAGTGACAACTTTGTTAACGGACAACATTCAAAAAAAGCTTGTTTCTTCTTTAACACCTTCTTCTTCTTCTATTGCCCTCCATGTCACTCGTGGAAGATTGAAAAGCGAGCAAGTGGCAAAATTGATCCAAGTCAAGAGAAGGCAACAAGAAGTAGATGAAATGTTGGAAGTGTGGCAAGCTAGATCACATGAAAAAGAATTGTCATAGTAAGCTGCAAGAAAAGAGAGAGAAGTATGTTGGTTCCTCCAAAAATGTTGTGATCAATAATGATGAAAGTTATGTTTTGTGAATATACTCCCTCACCGAGAGAGATAAATGAATTTTGGATTCCGCTTGTTCTTATCACATGTGTTTTCTGAAGAATTTTTTACTTTTAATGCATCATCTCAAGGTTCAGTTTTAATGAATAATGATCAACCTAGTAAAATTGATGATATTTGATATATTCAGATTCAATTTTTTGATGGATAAGTACTAACATTGATGAATGTTTAGCATATTTTTAGTATGCGTAAGAAATTAAATTCACTCAGAAAGATTGACATGAAAGTTTTTCATTGGAAAGTCATTGATGAAAAGCCATTGAGTACCTTTTTCATTGTTGAGGAAGTTCAAATATGATAATGAAAACTTGCAAGCAAAAAAATCTATACATCTTGGAGGGATTTATAATTTTTGGTGATGCCAATGCTACAACATCATTGGATTATGTGACCAAATTGTGGCATGCTTGTCTTGGCAACATGAGTGGAAAAGTTATGAACATTTTACACAAACAAAAGTTATTACTAAGCTTGAGCTTTTGCAAGCTTGAATTCTGTGAATAATGTGTATTTAGAAAGCATACACAACGTGTTTTTGGAACTAGTGTTCATAGTTCAAAGACAGTTTTTGAGTGTGTTATCTTTGATGTGTGAGGTCATTCACCTATTGCCTCACATTCTGGAAAAGAGCACTATGTTACAATCATTGATGACTACTCAAATTATGTGTGGATTTTCTTTCTTCCATGCAAGTATGAAGTCTTTGTCACTTTTAAGAAGTGAAAAACTCAAATTGAGACTCAAACAGGAAAAAAAGTGAAGTTTTTGCGATCAGATAACAGCAAGGAATACGTGTTCTAGGATTTTGACGCGTTATGTGAAAACAAAGAGATTAACCTTCACCAATATTTATACTCCACAGCAAAACGTTGTGTTAGAGAGGTTCAGTCAGACGTTTTTAGATAAATTATTGAATATGTTTAGTCATGCTAATTTACCACGTATTTTTTTGGCTGAAGTCATCATAACTTTAGCTTAGTAGATAAACTTGTCTCCTTGTAATGCAACAAGTTACAATAGTGTGTTTTAAATGTGGCATAAACGGAATGTTGATTACTCTTATCTCAGAGTGTTTAGATAGATGTGATGCTTATGAACATGTTTGCCTGACTATCAAGTACTTACCTTGATTCCAAGGCTACGATGTGTATTTTTCTTGATTATCAGCATGATGTCAAAGTATATCGACTTTGGGATCTTGTAGATTGTAAACTTGTCGCTAGTAGAGATTTTTTTTCAATAAGTGCATACCATTGAAAGAGAGGGAGATTGTTCAAGGGCAATTATTATCATTGATAGGAGGATTTTTTATGAAATTTCTCATGATGGGTCGCAAGGATTTGCTCCACAAGTAATGGTTGAGGTAGAAGAGCAAGATTTTGCTCTTGAAGAGTTTCATGAGAAGCAACACATTGCTGGTGAGTCACTGCCTGAATCATCACACAGTTGCAAGACCAACACGTGTTCATCGTGCGTCCAAATGATATGTAACTTGGTATTCTATTGAGGAGGCCGTTAGAGACAAGTACTTACTTGTTCATGATTCACAAGAAGCATTGATCACGTAGCATGGGAGTACCTCCTCTTATAGTAAATCTCAATCTGTCTTAGAGAAGCTTGATTGGGATGTAACGATGCGAAAAGAAATGAAATCACTGCATGACAATGTAACACTAGGGTTTAGAGAGAAGCTCACTCGAAGATAGAAACGTAAACTCTGAAGATGAGAGATACCA